CAAAATACTGACAATTCAAATCAAAAGTAAACACCGATGCCAATATGAGTTTGTATATGCAATGCATATCGATATACGTAAGGTTAAGATTTTAAATATCGGGATGCCGTGCATTCGGGATTTCGTTGTCGGGTTTATGGGTTGTCGGGATTGTGGTCGTCGGGATGTCGTACCGGATCCATTTAAGATACCGTAAAGCGCTCTGTATAGTATCCCCCTCTTGTAAGAATTTGAACCACAATTTTTTTTAGTAAATCCAATTATTTTTCCGCAAATAATTAAAATTAGATTTCACTATGCGATTTTTTAAAAAATTTAGTTACTGGTTTAATAGCTTGAGTTAAACTGAGGTTTAAGGGGAGACTATATAGAGTGTTTTGTGGTAGTTACTCTCTAATTTTGAAAAAGTTAATTATATTGAAAAACAAAAGCAATATGTTTACACTTTAAAAGGTGTACATTTTACCTCGTTTATAAACTCGGATGTGATTTGCTGGATTGTGTAATGATTTCAACACAACTTAGCATTCTCCTTTTCGTTTAAATTTATTTTCTTCATGATTCCATATGTTATATGATGGTACGTCCAACCAGGTTACTTTATAAATTAATCCAAAACCTAACTATTGCAAGAATTAACATTGGGAAATCTTTCAAAAGTATCCATTTACTAGACTTTCGATAGATTTATTTCCACTAAGCCATTCAGCTTAATAAATTCGTTTGTGATATAGAAATCATCTATAACAGTCATTGTTTTGATAATTGGTACATTCAATACAATCATAAATATTGTTTACAGTCTGACCTCTCTATAGTCACCCCTATATAGTCGCATCATATAAAGACCTCTTTATAAGCACGCTTTTCATAAAACCAACACCTATTAATGGTATATAAAAAACCTCTCTATAATCACAGGGTTTTATAGTCACATCCCTTTAGAACTAATACGTACTTAATAATGCTATATAAAAAAACCTCTATAGTCACAACCTCTTTATAACCACCTATTTACATGTATTGTGCGTTAGGTACATGTATTCCAGTCTCTGCCGATCTCAAATACCACTCAAAGGCTTTTTGTTCACCTTTGATTGTTCTCCATTTTTATAGAAGAAAGCAAGATTATTTTGTGCGTCAGAATCTTCACTACTCAAATGCTTTTTGTTCATCTTTGATTATTCCTTCTCCATTTTTATAACAGAGCAAGGTTAAATTGTGCGTTAGAATTCCAGACGCCGCCGATCTCAAATACCACTCAAATGTTTTTCTTTCATCCAATTCTCATCATAGCGATAGTATAATGTTCCGATTAAATATTGTGCCGCGACATCACTTATTTTTAACGAGCCAATAGGATGCTGGTTCATGCTTTGATTTTCAGTTATGCTTTTTGCTATAATAAATGAAGATGTTGCTAAATTTCTTTCTACTTGATCCGAATATGTAGCCGCGGCTAAATTATGATTGTTTTCATTTATATTTAATACATCTATTGGAACGGATAAAGATGATCAATGTTAAAGTGCGTCCAATTTGATCATTGATGGATTCATCGAAATTTGTCGTTAATAGTTGTTGTAGATTCTTTTCGTATTCAGTTGGTTGCTTTATCTTGTTTTTTCCTAAGCTATTTTCTCTGAAAAGCTCAATTTTTTTTGCTTTGTTCAATACTTCCGATTCCGATAAATCATTATTGTTGTTATTTGTTGATGGAATAGATGGAGACGAAGATGTTGTAAACACATCTATTTTTTCGATTTCTTTGGTCACTAACTTTTTGTTGATAATTTTGGACATGTTTATACATGTATCAATATTACAAAGTATGCACGTAATTAAGACGAAATTAGCAGTCAATCACACTTTAAATTGAAGTGATAGAAAATTCAGGTGTTCTTGAATCAACTTATACGTATTTATCTAAACAAATTTTGTTTCTGGAATATTGTGTACACTTTTTAAACCATAATAATACCAAAACCAATAAAAAACCAGATTATTGTTCTAAGCTAATAGATTTATTAAAATATATTATACAATATATCAAAATTTTAATTATTAGTTCAAAAAATATTTTGTTTTATAAAGATACAGTTATCTTCATATTCAGTAAATCAAATTAAATAAAATTGTCAACAGATTTACCAGGTCAAGGCATCTAATGATATCAAAGTAATCCAATTTTGATTACTAGATACAGAACATGTCTCAAAGATCATGTTTCAAAATCAGTATTTTGCGAATATCTCCATATTCAATAAACCAAACAAAATAATTTTGATATCATTAGGTTTGCTTTGATTAGATGGAAATATACATAAAAATATTTTTCTTTAAAAATTTCTTTAGAAAAATTTTTACCTCGATTTTTGTATAATATTCTAGTAATCCAAATTGGATGATTTTGATATTATTAGATGCATCTTGACTTGATAAATTTGTTAGTAAAATTTTATTAATTTAACTTATTAGATACAAAGATATTTGTATCTTTATAAAAAAGAATATTTTTTTGTATAAATTTCAGTTTGTTACTAAATTTTATCTTTTATATTTTTCTATTTTTTTTTTAACTATGATGTATAAAATCTAAAATTATCAAATAATTGTATTTTATAAAATGTATAAATTTTTTATTAAGAAATAAATAAACAATTTAATCTGTAAATATGCTCAGAAAAGAACTATTTTATTATATTCACAAATTAAATTTTGTATTTTCTTCTTAATAAAGAAGTTATACATTTTATAAAATATAATTATTTGATGACTTTAGATTTTATGCACTATAATTATTAAAATTACTTAAAATTTTGATATAATAGACAATATATTTATTGTAATAAATCTATTAATTTTAGAACAATAAATCTGATTTTTTATTAATTTTTACATTTTTATATTTTGAAAAGTGTTCATAATATTTTGCTAGATCATTATAATTATTATGCTTTCTTGATTTAACTTAAACAACAAAATTATCTAATAATTTAAAGTTATAAATATTTTGAAAATACTTAAAAACATCCTTCAAACCAAAGATCTTAGTAAAGAAATATGTTTATTTTACCTTCTTAATTATATATATTAAAATTTAAAAACCATGACAAATTTTAGATTATTCTTCTATTTCAAAATACCAGAAAAACAATTTATCTTTAGGATTAGAACTTTTAACACAGGTAACAACTTCATATAATTTATGAGTCTTCTATAATACATGACATTTGAAAGATTTTTGGTATTCAATAAAAATTTTTGAGCTTTATAATTTTGATAAAGGAAGAATGAATGTATCAGCACTGAGCATGCATAAATTAAAATATCATTACCAGAGAAAGACTATTTTTTTGTTCACAAATCAAATAAAAAAAATGTCAAAAGCAACAACTAATTACAAAGAATTGAATATTAGTATCTTTTACTCTTTTGTTATTCAACAACGTTTACATGAAGGCGGAAGCAAATACATGGCGAAACTTTCCAAACCACTACTTACCAATATCCATAAAGAAAAACGGTTGGAATAGGCAAAAAAATATAAAAATTTTGACCGGAGTAAAGTTATATTTTCAGACGAAGGCACATTTCGTCTAAATCAGTCGTTATTTAAGGTCTGGCAGTTTCCTGGACGAAGAAAAATATTCCGATCTGTGAAGCATCCATTGAGCTTCCAGCAGAATCTCAACGCTGAATTTATGGTTATGGCATACAAGCGTGGTCTTCTACCGTCCATCGAGTATCTTTTTGAGAACGATTCTGAAGGGTGGATCTTGCAAGAGGATAATGATACGAAACACCGTTCGAAATTGGTGAGTCTTTGGAAGGAGGATGGTCATCAATGTCACCCGACCAAAATCCGATTGAGAATGTTTGGAGGTTGATGAAAATTAATATTGCAAAAAAATTAGAACTCTTACCGGATTAAAGATACAATTAGCAACAGAATGGAATCGTTTACCTGATGATCTTGCTGTAAATCTTGTTCATATATAGCATGAGAAGACGGATTGAGGCGTTAATTGAAGCTGAAGGGGATTAACATGATCAGGATATATTGTAAACATTCATAATAAAAAAATATAGTTTTTATCTTACCTTTTAGCCGAGTTATTGGGGATACGTTACTTCTGACGAGCACTGCATTTGAATAGTGGGTTTGAAGATACGATAACATTTCATATTTTGTTCTAAATATATTTTAGTTCACTTATTATTATGTATAAAAGTATGTGTCTTTTTTGCGTGAGAATAAAGAAATGTTTACTTTGATAATTGTGATTTACAACCTGCGTTTTTTTTTTAAATGAAATTCATTATCATTGTGATCCTCAAAAAGTTATGATATATGGCGTAACTACGTACGTAGTTATTGCAGTTACGAACTTTGTCTGCACAACTTGTATCCTAAAATAAGAACAACGATCCATCAAGATTGACACATCAATAAACTAACAAGACAAATAAGCTATGTAACCATATCATCGTTACAAAAGGCTACAAGTTACGTATTGTTGGCAAAGCGGTACCGGTACTCGTCAATTTTTTTCTAAATACATGTACTTATTCGGTATTTTATATAAACCGAAACATTTCCAAACATGCTCATGTACGTCCAAATTAGTAGGACATAAACTAATTAAAGTATACATACTATGTATCATGCACTCCTACTTGCATGTGCCTCATTTAATTACTCTCGATTATCTGCCGCAGTAAAATCCCGATATATATTAAATATTAGCATAGCATATAGATGATATATCAGGCAATTATGTGGATGAACCACTCAACTTTGGACCAATATAAAAGTGACCTCAAGAAAAAGGTTGAAGAAGAATTCAATAGCCTTATAAATAAAACCGTTGAAGTAACAATATCGATATAATACTCGTCAAATTACATATCTATACTTTTTAATCTGCCTCTTAAATAAATTTAATTGACCCCAAAGAGTAATTCAACAAAGATTGAAGTAGTGTTAACTGACCCGATAAATAATGGCGACAAATCTTGATTTTTTGCTTTCCATTAACCTATTCGACATTTTGACTTTCTTATTTCTCTCTTACATTTCCCACTTTTACTTTAAATACTATACACGCGAAAATCCACTTCCCGGTCCATTCCCACTTCCGTTAATTGGTAATTTGTATCTATTCCGGGGTGACATATGTAAATTCGTTCAAAACACTCGCCAACAATATGGTGATTTATTTGAACTCTGGATACCAAATCGCAACATCTACTTAAACGAT